ACAAATCGATAAAATAATAAGATAATAATATTTTTAAAACTTCCATGTAAATATATGGTCCCACTAAAATCATAAATTAATAATCTAGCTATATATAATTTTATATAAGTACAATCTAACATTATATTGTTGGTTTTATATTTACTATAGAAATACTCTTATTTTTTAAACATTTCAGTATATTTTGATAATATTTAGTAAGGGATTTTATATTTACTATAAAAATACTTTTATTTTTTAAACATTTTAATATATTTTAATATTTAGTTCAATTACATCGAAAACCATGTAACAATTCTATGAAACATAAAAATGTACACCAAATAAGATAATAAAACAATATAAAACTCAAATTTTTTAAAATTTAAATAATGTACATATGCTAAAATCAAATATTTTTATTTTATAAATAAAAATAGAAAAAAAAAATCTAAATAAGGAAACTTTCGTAAATTAATATCTCTATAAATTAATAAAATTTCAAAGTCCCAACATTATTAATTTATAGAGGTTTATTTTATTTTATTTCACATACAATTTTTTTGAAAATATATTAGGAATGTGTTAAATGTTATTTATATGCGAAATAAGATTTATAGGAATAGTTAGGCTATAATATAGTTTTTAGTATGTAAAAGTAGGTGTGTTTTTTTTTTGCTGCAAATAGTTTTTATATCGTAGGTCAAAACTTGATATAATTCTATGTTTATAGTATTTGTATTTGTATTAAATGATTTATCAATTTGAAAATAACCTTAATTAAGTTAATATACGTTGTTTAAGTTTCTTTAGATAGGTTTTTATATATGGTTTTTTGTAAGTTTGAGTTTTGTTCATAAATGATGTGGCATTTTTATCTACGGCTTCATCGACTATGGGAATCCATTCGTCGGAGTCTGGAATCGATGATGAAGAATTTTTTCAATGAAATTATAGTAGTTATTAAAATGTAAGAGAAATTACATATTCATTTAATAAATAATGAAAAATAATTTAATTTTGATTTTTTTTTTTATCTCACATACAATTTTTTTGAAAATATATATTAGGTAATATGTGCAAAGATTTAACTTTTTGAGCTCTTAATATATATTATTCAAGCCTCATTAAGCCATCCACGTAGGCAGACGCGTGAGACTTACTTTTTTTTTTTTTTGGTCTGTTCGTTTTTGGATCCATTTTTATTATTTTTTGGTTGAGCTATAGTATAATAGGATAGTTTTAAGGCTTTTAAAGCCATCCGCGTGGGACTTGCTTTTTTTTTCTTTTTTTTTATTGTTCGTTTTTGGATCTATTTTTAACTATTTTGGGTTTGAACTTTTTAAGCTTTAGGGTTTATCCAACTATTTTGATATTTAAAACAATAAGCCCCAAAAATAAACATAAAACCTTATAAACAAAAAGCTCATATGATAATAACCCAAATCAAAAAATCAAAATGCATGATAGTTGCGTGGTTTGAACCCACGATCTTGCATGATTAATTAGATACCTTATACAACTTGGCTAAAGTGTATTTCATTGTTTGTAATCATCTTATCAAGACTATGTGTTTTAAAAGAATATATACGGGACCCACAAAACTGCTGACGTGGCGCGTTGTGGAGCCTAGAAAATCTACTATTATAATATAGATTACTAGATCTCGATCCGCACAACCGTGCGAGTATTTTAATACGAAAATATTTGAAATTATATAATACTCACTCCATTTTAGATAGATGATGTTTTAAAAGATTTATTATATTTCAAAATAGAAGATGTTTTGAGATTTTAAGGTATATTTTGAGGTTTTAAAATTATCTTTAACCTTATTGGAAACTTTTCAACCGATTATTATTTTTTTCTTAATAATTGGTTGAATAATTATAAAATTATATCTTTAAAAATACTTTTGTAAAAGAATGTAAATTTTTTAATATTTGTGCAATGATCCAAAACATCATATATTAAGAAACGGATGGAGTAAAATTTATCAATAAATAAATATAATTTGATTCTAAATACTATCCAATTTTATAATAATATTTATGTGGCTTATAATATTATTAATTTAAAATTTATAAATTGTATTTTCTGTAACAATTTATAAAAAAACATTATTATGTAACATTACTAATTTATGAATTTTTTATTTCTAAAATTTAAATATATATATATAAAGTAAATTAAATTGGACCTACATAATACATAAACAAAATTTTGGGATATTTTTAAAAGTATATTACATAATATTAATTTTTTTGTTTATAAATTAAAAATAAATTAAAATTTTAGTTATATTCTATGATAATTATATTTTTAATTAAATAATTTTTGAAACTATATCTTGAAAAGATTCTATAAGATTTTTAAAAGATTTTGTTAGAATTTTCTTACAATTATTTATTTGTATTTCAAATAAAAACTTGTGCGGGTATTTTAATAGGAAAATATTTTTGAAATTATATAATATTCACTCCGATTTAAATAGATGATGTTTTAAAAGATTTATTTTATTTTAAAATATATGATGTTTTAAGATTTTAAGGTATATTTTGAGGTTTTAAAGTTATCTTTAAGTTTATTAGAAACTGTTCAACGGATAAAATTTTACTCTTTTTAATATTTGGTTGAATGATTATAAAATTATATCTTTAAAAATACTTTTGTAAAAGAATGTAAATTTCTTATTTTTTTTTGCAATGATCCAAAACATCATATATTAAGAAACAGAGAGAGTAAAATTTATCAATAAATAAATATAATTTGCTTGTATATACTATCTAATGATCATAAATAATATTTATGTGGCTTATAATAATTTTTTTTTTTTTTTGACATCAAAATAAAGACAGATTCATATTGACTCCGCGAACCAAGGTGGTAGCTCCGTATTCATGTGAACAACGAAGGACGATTGTTTTCTGGCACTACGTGCTAGACTGTCCGATGTGGCTTATAATAATATTAATTTAAAGTTTATAAATATTTATTTTTGTAACAATTTTTAAAAACATTATTATGTAACATTACTAATTTATATATTTTGGATGTCAAAAAAAAACTAATTTATATATTTTGTTTTATTTCTAAATGTTAAATATATATAAAAAGTAAATTAAATTCGACTTACATAATACATAAACAAAATTCTGGGATATTGTTAAAAGTATATTACATAATTTAATTTTTTGTTTATAAATAAAAAAAATGAATGAAAATTTTAATTATATTCTATGATAATTAAATTTTTAATCAACTAATTTTTGAAACTATATCTTGAAAAGATTCTATAATATTTTAAAAAGATTTTGTTAGAATTTTCTTAAAATTATTTTTTACATTTCAAATAAAAATTAAAGATATGAAAAGATAGTATAATCATGTTATGTAAAATTATAAAATTTCTAAAGATGGTCCAAACTAAAAAATCACACATGAAGTGAGTCATGACTTCTCTTTTAATATAATAGATTAAAGATATGAAAAGATATTATAATGATGTTATGTAAAATTTTATAAAATTTCTAAGGATTGTCCAAACTTAAAAATCACACATGAAATTGTTGGGTTTGTGAAAACCTTTGTCCAACTCTATCTTTTCATATTAGTACGATATTGTCCACTTTGGGCTTTAGAGATTGGTCCGCATGGATTTACTTTTGGTTTCCTTCCCAAAAGGCCTCGTACTATTAGAGTTGGACTTCTCTTTATATATTAGACACTCCTTGTCTAATTCTCCAATGTGGGACTTAGTTTGTTATCTCACAGAAATGAGTCATGACTTCTCTTTTAATATAATAGATAGGTTCTCACTGAAAGGCCCATTGATTCTCCTGGCGAATCTTTTCTTCGTCGTCTGGTGTCAAACCTTGACGATCTTGAACTTGTCGCGAATCTCGTCTGCGTCTTTGCACGCTGCGATCATATCAGCAACCCTCTGGCAAGTGAGATCAAGCAGGCTTGGGATGTCCATGTAGTTGGAAGCCTCGACGAGATCGATGATGGTGGAGTTCTTCATTTCCAAGACGCGCGGCGTCCCACTTCTTGCGTTCTTCCTTCTCGGAGTCAGAGCAGCCAACATCACCAACGTGCTTCTCGCAGTACTTGATCACTAACCTGAGGATGTCACCGGAGACGTTCGCAAGCGGGATTGGATCGGTGGTGTCAACGCCATCTTCAATGAGATTTGTTATCAACGTCGATTGGAGTGCGACAGCTTCGTCGACCATTAACTCTTCACCATCAGAGCTCTTCAACAAAATCTTCTTAGTCGACATCGTTTTTACTTGTTATGCA